GAACCCCTTCCCTCTCAGCCTCACTCACAGTGCTCTTGCACACCTTCAACTCGTCCCCCTCACCTCTCCGCCACCTACCCCCGACTATGTCGCCACCTAGGCTAACACCTAGGTTTCTACCTACCGCGGATAATCACAGCCCCAGCTTACTTGCCTATTCCACCGTTCGACTGTCAAACCGTCGCCGATCAGGCTGGTTCCCGTCACTCGACATCGTTTCGGCGCCAGGTGAGTTGGTCCTCCTCTTTGGTCTGCTTTCGCTGTTCACCTTGATCTCCTTTCCTAACTTTACGCCGACATGCAGGGCTCAAGTCGTAGCAACTCCAAGGCCAAACCCGCCCTATTTTAATACCCTACGCCTTAACCCGAACAGTTTCGCCTTTCGCTCCTCACGCTCTCGCTCTCGCTCGCATGCTTTCAGTTTTTCTCTCCCGCTCTCGCTCATCTGCTCTCGCTCTCGCTGCCACCTTGGAGCAGTTCAGGTTCGCCGGAAGTCCACTGATGTCCTCGCGCCGACGCCGACGGATAACCCCCCGCCTCCGCCAGGAAATTGGCCGTATAAACACGCGCTGTTTTTCATCGCTCTGCCCCCTCTCGCTTCCCTGTCCTCACGATTTTGCCCAACTCTCTGCTATCTCCGGCTATTTGTGTTCGCCCCCCCTTCACGCCTCTCCCAATTTTTATGCCAAGCATGCCGTCGTTCACAACGAGGCTTGGCCGCGCGCCTCGCCTCCCAGTCGCCCCTTCGCGAGTCGGGTTGGCGCCACTACTGTGGAACGGAAAGCCTGCCGCACGCCCCCCTGCAACGCCCTTCCTGATCTTTGTGCTACTGCGTTGACGTCTCACCTTCGCCGTACTTCTATTTTTGGCAGCGGTGGCAACCCCAAGCATGTCCGCGCAACCACTCTCGTGCACCTCCTCGGGTAAGTAGTACCGCGCACCCTCCAGCCTCTCTCAGTCGGTACCGTTTCAAGCCACATGGTCATCTGCTTTCCCTGATTTTCTGCAATGACGCTCTCTCTATCGCTTCGCTGCTCCCCACCTCACCTCAACACCCATGCCTATGTGCATGGTTTTTGGACTCGGAATGCCGATCAGGCTCCCAGTCCGCTCTCGTGAATCGCTGTGGCCAATGCCTTTGCGTTCACCCCCCCTCTCTTGCCACTGCTGGCGCTTGGCCTTGTGTTTCGGGAAGCCCGTCGGGCCCCTAGCCACCTCTCTTGGACCGCCCTGGCTCCCTCTCTAGCTCCCCTGTCACGTTTGAATCACCTTTCACTGTCTCAGCTCACAACACCCTTCCCCCCCCCTCTTCCCGGTGCTTCCAACCCGCCACTCCTCCCAGTTTCATGCCCTTCGTCGTTACGACGCCGTCCCCCCCTCTCCCCCCGGGTCGGGCTCGCCCCCCCCTGATGGCTCCCACCGCTTGCCTCATTCTTGACCTCCCACGTTTCAGCATGCTGCTATACCGCCCCGCTGTCCCCCTGGATCAGCCTTCCCCCCTCATGCCTCTCAGGCTCCACCCTGGACCCTCAGGTGGCCCTGAGGCCCTGCTGCTCCTTCTTCCACGCCCTCCGCATCCTCACTCGCGTTACTCCCTGCCCCTCCTCTCACTCTGTGTTTCAAGCAGCTTGCATTGCTTTTTCGGCTTCCAAGAAGTTTTTCCGCCGTCGGAGAACTATCCCCCTTTGCCTGCAACCCTAGTAACCTTTGCTACCCCTTGTTTGCGTACCCCGCAATATTGCACGGCAGTGTTTTACACGCTGCCATGTCGGACAGGTTTCACTTGTGATTGTGCTTTAACTAGATATGACCTGCTTTTTCCTTGCAGCTCCAGATCTTGTAAAAAAATATAGCTGGAAACACTGCTACCAGTATATTACTTCACACCCCTCCCATTGAAAACTGTCAACACTGCCTAGTAGTGGTAATACATCTCTCCTCATTTACGTAAAAAAACGAAAAAGGGGTCGTACCTTTACCAAGGTCTATTTGTATGCTACCTTTTCACACTCTGCACCCGCCTTGAACCACCCGTCAGCAGGGCCTATGATTCACTTTTAGGCACGTAAAGGCATCAGGGTCCCCTTGTGTAGAATCCCTGATAATCAGTGTCTCTAAAAAAAAATCCCTGAAAGTTCAGTGTTACTTTTTAAAAATCTCTGATGCATCAGTGTCCCCATTTTCTAAACGCTGATACACTTCAGGTGCAAGACACCCTCGCACCGCACACTGCCAGCATTGCTATGCTGCAACCCTGTGATTGGTCAACCCACGCAATGATGCGAAACTGGGCAACGTTCGTTCCACGCGCGCCAAATTCAACAGCCCACCAGTTGTGAAACTCGGGGAAAATTTGTCTCGTTCTCACCGCCAGGTGGTGCTGGCGGTGAGTACCAGACGAATTTTTTTCCAGACACCGTGGGAATCTGATATTCCCTGTACTTCTGGGCACCTACACTCGGCACGTGTAGGAACCGCATTCAGGGTCGGATTCGTTACAACGTAAAGTGATCAGTGTCCTTTCGAAAAAAACCCTGAAAGATCAGAGTCATCTGGCACCTAAAGGCTGAAAGATCAGCCCCTAAGAAAACTGAACACTGGAAAATCAGGATAGGTACAAAAAAAATCCCTGAAAATCAGGAATTTCAGGGAAAAATTCCTGATAACGTAGGGCCTGCCCATCAGCCTTGCGGGGTAGCTATGGTGATGCTCACACAAAGCTAGTTCGCACATACACTAAACGCACCCCAAACTCCATACAGTTACCGCTCTTGCAGTTCTCAGACTCCATAGCGCTACGCATTTTCAACATGCTGACATGCAACCAAATGTCGCCACGATACCATGAACCTCACCATGACCAGCACTTCACGGGCTTCGCCTCTTTTTCAAGCACTGCCCGTCACAACCTCCTTCCTAGGCCGTGGATACGTACGATCTCCCGTGCGGTGGCCTTCACATCGTTGCCATGTCAACACACCTCCGCATCCTATGCATCAATGTGAACGGAATTAACGAGACTCGCAAAATGGATGAGCTTAAAGCCCGAGTCTAGAATGGTAGGCTTCAAGTTCAAGATTCTTGAACTCGAATTCGTCAAAACACAAGGTAACCTGGTTTGGTTGTGCATCGACCTCGCGACCCACCGAGAGGGAATTGAAGCGCGAGGCTGTGATTGGCCAGAACCATCACAGGCAATCCCACAACAACCCTCGCCATAACAAACAAAAGCACACGGTACTGTTTAGACTTCTTGAAACTTGAAAGCTTTGCTTACCACTCTAGACTCAAGACATAGCAGGCTCCTTAGCCCGTCATTCCATGAATGATACACTACGCTGGTGTTTTCTTTTTTCCAACTAGTTATTCTCTGTAACACTTCCAGCCCACGTCCCTCAGGTCTCACCGTTTGATCAGGTTATGACCCTTGCAGCCGTCATTCACGACTATCGTGACTTGCCTCCCAGCCCTCCCATCGCTCCTGTCCCTCCCATAGTTCTCGTCGCTTCCATCGTTCCCGTAGCTCCCGTCATTCCCGTCATTCTCGTCGTTTCGTCGCCCTTCATCGGAAAAATCCTGGGTCAGCCAAACACAGCCCCGAGGGGTTTGCCCGTGTGACTTCTCGACAGGGGGGGGAATGCGGACGATGGGTTTCGATCTATTTCTGTCTGGGCTTCTGAAAATTTCCGGATCTGTCCATAAATCGTTTGCTTTCAGCAAGTGTTGCCCATCCATAGCTCCAAGTGTAACGGATGAGGTTCTACAGTTCGTTGGTGTGGCTGTGTCGGGCTGGTTTCGATGAGATGTGTCCGCAGACTATTCGAACTGTTTTACACGTGGCTCGCTGCTGCTGTTGGATGATGTTTGCCGATTCACGCCGATTTTTGCTTTGCTGTCGATTTTGCTTGCGAACTGGTTACATTGTTGGTGTCAACTAAATGTTATACTCGTTAATTGCGTTTTGAATCAATCAGGTTACATTTCGCTAAGATACTTATTAGGTGACTGCTGTATATTTGTTGTAATGTACAGTGTGTTGTACGCATATGATTCTTTCTTTATCGTAAACTTAGAGGTATTGTAAACTTTATCGTAAACTTTCTTTGAACCATCATTATGATCTAGCATGATTTTTTCTAAGGATTGTTCGGCTGAGATGAGACAATGTAGTTTGGTAATAAAATGAATGATAATTGAGGTTGTGCGAAAACATAGTATTGTTAAATTCTTGTTTCATTTATGTGATACTGCAACTTCTATATTTTATGACGTTCGTTATTGTTATTTGGTATTTTGTTTCCAGCTTGTTTTGCATAGGTGGTCCTTGAAATGAGTAATTTTGATAATTTTGTTTCATTTTTCCGTAACCATCACAAAGTTTTGTTATGGTATGTTGTTTGTGAAGGGTACAAATCGTAAATGTGTGTGTTGCGCGGCTTGATTTATAAGTGTTGGCAGTTTGTGGCGCAGCGCTTCTTTCTGACGAGTTGCGAGTATCTCACATTTTGGTAATTTTGGCGCCATCCTTCTCGTGCTGTTCCTACTTGTTGTTCAATAGCACCCCCACCATTTTCTGCTCGATGTTTGTTTCTGATTCATGCCAAACTCAATTCGTTGTTCAGCAGCTCTTTTGCACACACTGTGCTCTCACTGCAATCAAGGTCCTTGCACCTACGTGAAATCAGCTTCCTGAACTAATCGGAGTTAAGCTTCACGAGGGGCCCAGCAGCCGAGTAGTGCTTCCCATTTGTCACGAATCACGTCACCACACAAGGTGAGTTACGTTTTATCATGCACCTACGAGACGCGACTCGAATCCGCCCATCAAACACGCCTCACCGCGTCACCCACGTTTCCCTCTGTCGCACTCAACGCACGCCATCCCACCCGAATCTCTGAGTCTTGCACGTCTGTGCGCGTAGCCCTCGTTACCCTCCGTCGCCCTGGCTACGACCGACGCCCTCGCTTCCCCCCTCGCCCTCGATTCCCCCCGTCACACCATGTCTCTCGTCGCGTTCGCTTCACTCCGTCCCCCGCGCTTTCCTCGACAGTCTGGCTTCCCCCGTCGCCCTTGCTTCCCACCGTCGCCCTCGCTTTCCCCCGTCGCCCACGCTTTCCCCCTTTGCCCTCGCTTTCCCCCGTCGCCCACGCTTTCCTCCGTCGCCCTCGCTTTCCCCCGTCGCCCACGCTTTCCCCCGTCTCCCTCGCTTTCCCCCGTCGCCCTCGCTTTCCCCCGTCGCCCACGCTTTCCCCCGTCTCCCTCGCTTTCCCCCATCGCCCTCGCTTTCCCCCGTCGCCCTCGCTTCCCCCCATCGCCTTCGCTTTCTCCCGTTAACATGGGTTCTCCGTCGCCCTCGCCCCTCCCCATGACTCACATCTCCCTCCGTCGCCTTTGCTTCCCTTCTTCTCCTTTGCTCCGTCACTCTCGTTCCCCCGTCGCCATCGTTCCCGTCCGTCGCCATAATTATTGTCCGTCGCCCTCGTTCCCCCCCCTCGCCATCGTTCCATGCGCTGCCCTCGCTCCCATCTGTTTCCTTCCGCCGCCCCCTTTTCCCTTCGCCGCCGTCTATCCCCTCCACGCCCTCGCTTCCTCCGCCTCCCTCGTTCCCATCCGCCGCCCTCGCTGCCCTCCGCCTCCCTCGTTCCCATCCATCGCCCTCGCTTCCCCCCGTCGCCCTCGCTTCCCCCCGTCATTCTCGCTTCCCCCCGTCGACCTCGCATCCGGTTTGTTGCCCTCGCCTTCCCCCGTCGCCCTCGCTTCCCCCCGTCGACCTCGCCATCGCGGAAAAGTCTTTGCCCCAAAATCGAGTTCCGAAAGCTGCAGGAAACTTGCTGCTTTGTATCTGGAAAGTGTCCACAAAGCAATGACTGAATTTTGCAACTCGCACAAACTTCGGATACAAGGGGTAGCCGAGCCGCGCATTTAGGGTACGTGGGTTTCCTGATGCGCTCATTTTGGATACATGGGTTACCCGAGTCGCGCATTTCAAACATCAATCTCAACACCTGTGAACCGAACTGTACACCTGTTCACGATCTAACCTTTGGAGACCCTCTTGGTGTGATTCCACCTGTGTGCGATCGCTGAACACATCGCACGCTTTCACGACGGTTGCGAGTACAGTAACGTGGATACAAAGCTTGACGAGACTCGCTGGAGTGCAACCAACAGTCGGAGAATGTGCACCTTGCATGCGGTTGTAAGTCACACCCAATGAACACCAAGTATTCAGATATCATGATACTGACGTGGCGCCCCGGACCTTCACTCAGCTAACTTGAGCCGATGTAGCCAAATACCAAGCCAGTTCCGATACACCACACCCCAACCCACACCCCCTCTTCTTCGACTGTATTGGAATCTTCAACGTACAGTACCAAGTCACTGCCACACGTCACCATCTAAACCTCACACCTCACCACGTTCTCATCTAGCAAATATATCCGGCCAATCGAAGCTGCGCAAATGATCAGCCTCACCACTCACCCTGAGAAACTGAACGAGAATGAATTGACTAAGGGAAAGTTGGGTACAAATACAAACCCTAGAAAACTGTACCCTATATGTGCTACCCCACTATAGCCTACAGTAGCTATGTCATATAAATCTGACACACCCCCATAGGCAAAGTGGGGGAGAACAAGGGGTCACAAGACCAGTCAAGCAAAGCAAAGCAAGCTCAGGGTGGATCACAAAGTCACCACACATTCCGAGCACAAGTTCAAGGCCACAAGGCCAGTTCACATGCAGGATTACATATATGTATATATATAAGGCTAGACAAGCAAGAGCAGGTGTATATATATATGCAACAGTACAAACAAGGTCAAGTGGTGAGCAAGTGAGGCAAGGTAGGCACAAGACCCAGCTGAGTACAGAAGCGCTGATGATCACAAGGCGCAAGTGCCTTGGTGAAGATATCAGCAGTGTTGGCCTCAGAGGCCACGTACGCAAGCCGCAGCTGACCACGCTGCTGTAGCTCACGAGCAAGGAAGTAGCGGAGAGCAATGTGCTTCGTTCTGTGCTCCAGTCTCTGCTCTCGACACAAGGCCAGCATGGCCTTGTTGTCTACGTACAGCACTGGAGGAGAACGAGGCGGCTCTCCGAGGTCAGTCAGCAGGTAGGTGAGCCAGCGAAGCTCCTGTGCAGCCATGGCCCCGGCGTAGATCTCAGCCTCACAACTGGAGCCGAGAACAGAAGACGAGCGAGTAGCCCGCCACGAAACAGAGCCGGAACCAAGGCTGAAGGTGTAACCCTGTGACGACCGCTGCGTAGCCTGGTCGTCAGCCCAAGAAGCGTCTGCGTGCCCAGTGAGGACCACTGGACTCTGCCCTCCAAGCACAAGCCCCATGCCCGACGTACTGCACAAGTAGCGCAACACCCTCTTCGCTGCAGCCATGTGCTCCGGTCTGTGTCTCCCAGGAGCAACATAGCGTGCGAGAATGCTAAGAGGGTATGCAAGGTCAGGTCGTGTGCAGGTCATCAGGTACATGAGGCAGCCAACAAGCTCTGGGTACGGGCCACTCGACTCTACGGACTCATCCGAAGGCAGAGCTGAGAGCGAGTGGCGAGTAGGCAGAGGAGTGGCCTGAGGCGAGGAGTACGTGAAGCCGAAGCGCTGAAGGACCTGCTGCACCATGTGTGACTGAGTCAGGGTAATGGTGCGGCGTGCTCTGTCCTGGGTGATCTGCAAGCCAAGGTAGCTGCGCAGTTCACCTAGGTCTGTGCACGTGTGTCTCTTCTGCAGCTCGGACTTCACGTGGGCGAGTCCAGCAGTGTCAGCTGTGGCAAAGACCAAGTCTTCGACGTACACGAGGATGTAGAACGGCGGCAAAGAAGTGTCGGTGCGCAGAAACAGCGACGGGTCAGCAGTAGAGGGAGCAAACCCAAGAGCCGCAAGTGTAGTCCTCAGTGTGTCGTGCCACTCACGCGGTGCCTGGCGGAGACCGTAGACTGGCCGCCGGAGGCTCCACTGGGTGCCAGGAGGAAAAGACCCAGTGAAGCCAGGTGGGCGACGCAGCCAGATCTCCTCGTGCAGGCTGCCCTGCAAGAAAGCAGTGCTGAAGTCAAGAGAGTGCAGCTCGTAGTCGCGGTGAGCAGCTATGTGCAGCAGTACCCGAAGAGTGGTCATCTTCGGGGTGGGAGAGAAGGTCTGAAAGTAGTCAACTCCCTGCCGCTGACTGAAGCCACGAGCCACGTAACGCGCCTTGAAGACATGCGGAGAACCCGGCGGCCGCTTCACCCTGAAAATCCACATGCCACTGACGATGTTCGCCCCAGGCGGGGGAACCTCGTCAACGTAGGTGCCTGTGGACTTCCAGGAAGCCATCTCTGTGTCCATAGCTGCCTGCCACTGAGAGGAGTAGGGACCCTCTATCGCCTCCGTGTAAGAGCGCGGAGTCGGGATGTCAAGTGCATCCGGGTCTCCCTCAGGGGTAAGCAGTACGGACACGAGATGAGGTGAAGCAGCAGCCAAACACTGGAACTCCTCCTGCCTGTCCTCAAGGACGTCCGTGCCAAGGGCACACTCACCCCCGACGGACGGAGGACAGACAGACTCAGACTCATCGACAAGACTAGCAGCGTAGTCTAGACGACAGCGAGCAGCAAAGTCGACGAGCTCAGCAACTAGGGCAGGCGCAGCAGTGGACTCAAAGGAAGGGTCAGTGACGACAGTAGCAAGGAGACGCGTGACAGTAGGACTGGCAGCACGAAGAGAGTCCGACTCCGGGTCGGGAAGAGCAGGAAGAGAGGACTCAGGAGGAGAAGGCAAAGGGGCACGCAGAGGAGCAGTGGACGGACGCAGAGACATCCGGTGCGTGCCAGGGACAGGAGGAGGACGCTGACGCGAACCACGACCACTAGTGCGAGCAGGACGGACAGGCGACGCAGGGCGAGACGCAGGCTCACGACGCTCAGCAAGACCTCCAGTAGGACCAGTGTAGGGAGAAGGAGCGGGCAGTGGCGAGGCCGGCTGTAATAGTAACTGTGACGGGACAGGCTGTGGACACTCTAAGGGAGGAGGAGGACCAGTAGAAGGCGGGAGACCAAGAACCTGCTGAAGGAGCGGAACGAAGTACGGCCGAGGCCGCGCGGCGACTCCAGACACAGCAGGGACAGCACCAGTACCCCCAGCGGCAGCACCAGCGCCAGCAACACCTCCAGCTCCAGTACCTCCAGCAGCACCAGTAGTACCCCCAGCAGGACCGCCTCCAGGACCGACAGCAGTAGCCTCAGCGCCAACACCCTCAGCAGCTCCAGCTCCAGTCGTACCCGCAGGCCCAGCAGCTTCAGTACTCCCAGTACGAGCACCTCCGGGACCCGCGGCACCAGCACCCCCAGCAGCCGAAGAACCTCCAGCTCCAGCAGCACGCCTCCAGCGCCGGGCAAACCACTCGCGCAGCTCCTGTGGAGAGAGTGGCTCCCGCCGAGACGAAGCACCCGGTGAACCTCCAGGCTCAGCACCGCCAGACGCCACACGAGCAGGCCCAGCTCCCTCAGGCTCAGCACCTCCAGGCGTAGCACCCCCAGGCTCAGCACCCCCAGGCGTAGCACCCCCAGGCTCAGCACCCCCAGGCTCAGCACCCCCAGTAGTAGCACCCCCAGGCTCAGCACCCCCAGGCTCAGCACCCCCAGTAGTAGCACCCTCAGGCTCAGCACCCCCAGGCGTAGCACCCACACGCTCAGCACCCCCAGAGTCAGCACCCCCAGGCTCAGCACCCTCAGCAGCACCAGAGTCACCAGTAACCTCGACAGGCTCGACTGCGTCTACCTGGGACACACCTGAAGGGGCAGGACCCTGAGGGGGGAGGGGGTCTACCGGGGGGGGACCTGGCACAAGGAAGAGCGGTGGCGGGGGGAGGGACGGAGTGCGGTAGGGGAAGAGGCGGTAGTAGGGGACCGACTCGTCAAACGTGACGTCCTGGGAGGACAGAACACGGCGAGAGGTGGGGTGGTAGAACTGCCACCCTGGCGCGTCAGGGGGGAAGCCAAGGAAGACACAAGGAGCAGCACGAGGGGACAGCTTGTCCGCAGACAAGTCGCGGACAAACGCCCGAGATCCCCAGACACGGAACGCAGACGCATCGCCAACCTTCCCCGTCCACAGCAAAGCTGGGGAGGTCTCCGGCATGGAGACCCTGGGGTGAAGGTTGATCTGATGCGCCGCGTACCGAACCGCAAACGGCCACAGAAAATGGGGGGCAGACGTACGGGCGACGTCCATGACCATGCCAATGCGGCGCTCAGCAATCCCATTTTGCTGTGGAGAGTCCGGAAGCGTGAAGGTCTGGCGGATGCCTCGTGCACGACAGTAGGCTCGCAGAAGGCCAGAGGAGAACTCTCCACCTCTGTCAGAGTGCAGACGCAGAACAGGAAAGTCCGAGCCGAAGCTCTGCCTGAGCTGGAGACGAGCTGCGCGGATCCAGTCGATCAACACCTCAGTGACATCACCCTTGCTGCGCAAGGGGAAGACTGTGGTGTAACGCGAGTAGTCGTCAACCACCAGCAGGAAGTAGCGCTCGTGACCCTGTCCACGGACGCGGGCCGGGCCCCACACGTCCATGTGAAGCGTCTGCAGCGGGGCCTCTGTCGGAGGAAACTGGGAGGAGTGAGGGGCAGCCCGCTGCCGCCCCTCGACACAGGGGATGCAGGTAGGGCCAGGCCCCGGAGGAAGGGGAGGGAGGGACCGGGGAAGACCAGAGACAAGGACACGGGAGGCCATGCCTCGGAGACGAAGCAGGGAGGGGTGACCAAGGCGGTGGTGCCAGAGGAGAGTCTCGTGAGACAGGAGGCGACACGAACAGGGGGCAGACTCAGGACCAGACCTGGACGCTGCAGCAAACACCTGACCCGACGCAGCTACCTGACCAGACGCAGTGACTGGAGGAGACGCAGTGGTCAGTGTGTACAGGCTCGACCCCGGCCGACGTGTAAACGTGGCCAGGTGTCGGCCTGTCCGAGCGTCCGTGCAGTGGGTCACCCGCTGACTCGCAGGAGTGAACTGGTGAACCCCCGCATCCTGTAGGTCAGCACCACTCACCAAGTTCGTAGAGAACGAGGGGAGGTAAAGACCAGACAGGGTGCCA